CTGTGCCATCTCAGTCCAGTGGTTCTCAACCTTGGCTGCACATTAGAATCACCTGAGAATCTTTTGAAAATCCTGATTTCTGGGCCTCAGCCTCCCGAAATTCTGTTTCTTTGTTATGGGGTAGGGCCACAACATTAGTAACAAAGAAACAATTTCCAGAGGATGAGGCCCAGAAATCAGGATTTTCAAAAGATTCCCAGGTGATTCTAATGTGCAGCCAAGGTTGAGAACCAGTGCATTAGTCCGAGGCTTGAACCTGTTGAAACACTGTAAGCCGCTCTCCACAAGGACTTGAATGCCACCCTCCTTTTTTGGACAGACAGCACTACCCGTGTCACATACCTGAGGCATCTGCGGGTCGTTGATGTCCCAACTGAGCTTCATCCCATAGGAGCGCACACAGTCCGCCTTCTGCCCCGCTTCCCTTGGCATCTGCCCACTTTGCCCGCCAAGTCCCGCAAGGATCCTGAAAGATAGAAGCGGAAAACAAATCTAGAGGCGCGCCAGGTGAATTTTCCCCATTTAAAAAAGAAAAGAAAAGTGGAGATTGGGAGAGAGGGAGTGGGAAGGAGAGGGAGAGGGAGAAAGAAGAAGAAAGGAGGGGAGAGAGAGAGAGAGAGAGAGAGAGAGAGCGAGAGAGAGCGGAGAGAGAGAGAGAGAGAGAGAGAGAGAGAGTGATTGGAAGTCCACGGGGGTTAAGGACCCGGGTGGAGCCCAGATCTGGGCCTCGGTGCTGAAGGCGCCAGGCAGCTCCGCCTTTACTCTCTTTCTCCAACTCTCAGGTCCCGCACCAGCAGGGCAGGTCACCCCTCCCGGACAGAAGAGGAACAGGACGGGGAGGTTGACCTGAGCCCTTAGATAACAGGAAACTGAAGCCAAGATGCTAAGGGGCGAGGCTGGAGGTGTGGAGGTTGGAATGCCTCATTTATATTGATGATTTTTTTTGTGTGTGTGTGTCTTTCTTTCTTTCTAACCCCGCCCGGCCTCTGGGGTTTCCGGAAGCTTTGGAGACAGTGGCTGTCGAGCCGCTACTCAATTCTCCTGCCGCTCGGGAACCATAGGTCGCTGCGCGCCGCAGGCTGAGTAACTGTGCCGGTGCCGCAGGATCCGTCGGCCTTCTCTGGGTCTTTTTCCCGGGCTTTTGCTGTAGCTGCTGTTATACGTGTCCTGGACTGTGGACTGTGTGCTCTTTTGTGTGAGTGTGTGAGGGGGGAGCGGGAGGGGGCGCCGAAGCAGATGTCCAGGGGAGTGCCAAAGGTCCCTGTGTGTTCGTGAGCCTGGGTGCACCCACCCCGGGGCTGCGGGGGACCCTGCCCAGTGGGAGGAGAGTCCTGGAAAGTGAACCTGGAGAAAGTGGGGAAGACCAGCTAGGGGCAGGTGGAGAGAGAGGGGGGAGCTCTGCGCCCCTCAGGTGCCGGAGCTCTTGCAGAACCCGCAGCTCTCTCTGTCTGAGCCAGTTTCCCTTTCTGCTTACAGGAGGGATTGGGGCTCGGGTGAGTTCTCAGTCGCCATCCACCTGACATAACCCTTTTAAACAATCATCTTTATTACCTTGTATGCATATATTCATAGCCCATGGACACAGACAATGGGATGCTGATGGCCTGGGGGGGGGGCGGGCTGGAGGGAGTTAATAATAGTTCCCATGTTCCCAGTCATCACCCACCCACGGGGATTTTCACTTAATACTGTGGCAAAAGTAATTATGAACCGATTATTAATAATTGATAACATCACAGCTTTTACATAGTACCTTTTGCTCTGGATTCAGAGACATGGAAGCAGGGAACAGAATGCAGAAACTCAGAGGGAAGGTGTGTGGGTGGGAGATAATCAACCAAAGACCTTGTATGCATATGGACACAGACAACAGGGTGCTGAAGGCCTGGGGCAGTGTGGGGGTGGGGCAGGAGGGAGGCTGGAGGGGGTTAATGGTGGAGAAAAGGGTGGCATATGTAATACTTTCAACAATAAAGAATCACTTAAAAGTCATCTTTATTGATATTGTTGTGGAAATACCACGGCAAAATGTATTTACCCCCAGTCCATCTGGGGAGGCTTTTCTGGAGACTCCAACGCTGTGGGCTCCCCGAGGAACCTGGTAGCACCCAAGAAGAGAAAAGGATTGAAATGACTTAAGTCGCTCATTACCCATGCTGGGCGGAGAGAGAAGATGGGTTTCTGGAATTTATTTTGTTTTGCCGGAGGGTTGCCAGCCCTAGGTCAGAGAAGAGCCACCCTGAAGGGGGGTCACTGTTAGAGGAGGATGTTCCGAACCTACATCCCTCTAGAGCAGTGGTTCTCAACCTTCCTAATGCCGTGACCCTTTAATACAGTTCCTCATGTTGTGGTGACCCGAAACCATAAAATTATTGTTGCTACTTCATAACTGTAATTTTGCTACTGTTATGAATCTTAATGTAAATATATGATATGCAGGATGTATTTTCATTGTTACAAATTGAACATAATTAAAGCATAGTGATTAATCACAAAAACAATCTGTAATTATATATGTGTTTTCCGATGGTGTTAGGCGACCCCTGTGAAAGGGTCGTTCGACCCCCAAAGGGGTTGCGACTCACAGGTTGAGAACCGCTGCTCTAGAGTCTACATCAGGGAGCTGGCACGCCCTAGACCTTGGTCTCTCCTAGCGCATGCTGGTCGGACAGACTAATGCCAGGTGGGACCCGGCTGGTAGGGTGCCCAGGCCAGCACCTCTTGCAGGATTTGTCTTTTCCTTTCATGAACCTTAAACCCATTACCTGAACAACCATCTACACTCCCGATCCTCTCACCTCTCCAGTCAAGGGCATAGCCAGGCGTGTTAGCAAAGTCAATCCCATTGGCAGTTGATCATCGGAGAACTCCCGTGACTGGAAATGCCATCTTTGGGCAGTTCTATGACTTACCTTTCTCTAGATTCCAGCTCGGATACTCCTACCAATCAGAGGCGAAATATCCACGTGGGAGAAAGTGACTTGTTCATCTCCCCAGCCTCCCTTGCCCCTAAGTTGTCTCCTGAAAGGTCAAGTCGGTCTGGGTTTGCGATTAAAATCACTCTCAGATAATCATCAGGAAGGTCCTGGAGGAAATGTAGAGAGGGTCCACTCTTCACCCCTGGTTTTATCCTCAGCTTTCATCATATTAACTGACCGCCGAAAGTCATTGCAATCCTGTCATCCAGTTGCTTTTTACGTTGCTTTGTCTTTCAGAGGTTAAAACAATGGACACTTAATTTTTTTACAAATCACTATTTTGTTAATTTGATAGTTTAACCTAATGTATACTTTAAAATGTTTTTAATATAACTTCAAAAACATTTACAGTCACCTCTGAGAATGCACAGGAATTAATTTCTGGTCTTCCTGTAAACATTGTTAGAATATTTATTGTCTCTCTGATCTTGGGATGTTCCTAGAGAGCCCATATCTTTCAAAAAACATAAATACAAGTTTTAATGTTAAAGCAAATCAATTACTCATGTACTTATTTTCTAAATGGATTCTGGTATCCACATAAATGTCAGAGTCTCCGCCATATTCCATTTACAGAATTCCATTTACAGAATTAAAATACACATATTCCAACTCACCCTAAAAATGTGTCTGGGTAAAATATGTTAGTCAAACGAATCAAAGTGATGATATAACAAAATGAAAATAAACAAGTCCATGTGTTCTCTATTTTATTATCTTTCATTTCTCCTGAAAGACTGAATGCATTAACAACCATATGGCTTGGAAAGGCGTATTTTTCCTGAAAAGTCTGAAGATAATGGATTATGAAGTTTTAAAGTCTAATATTAACAATTTTATTATATTATGTTATATTGTTATTATATTACTATATTGTTTTATTTCCTAAAGTAAAATATATTTAAACTGCATTTTGATTATTGTTTATTCTTCTTCAATTCTTTCTTGAAGTTAGTGTTTGCCCTGATTCAGAACACTTTATTTTCAAAGCTGGCTCTTCCTTAATTACTATTTTGATATTTTAAAAGCCCATTAATTCAAAAGCAAGGAAGAAGGCTTTGAATTTGCTAGGTTGAGATTAAAATTAATAAATTAACGTAAGTATATTTACATCATCTTCCCCCGGAAAGGGATATAATGAGCTTTGAAATAAGTATCATTTCAAATGAACTGGAGGTGGGAGGCACAGTCCTGGGCTGACAGCTCAGATTCCGGTTATAGTATGTTTTGCTTGGATATAAACAAATATCTTCCACAAATGTCATAACACGAAATACCCTTAACATCTAGTTATAATTCAAGTTGATTTACATCTAAAGAATGTTTGGAATTGAGGGTTGTTTTTGTTTTTTTAAGGAAAACACCAGTCCAATTTATTTTTGCCACCGTGTTCACATACCAGGCCACCTACCGGCCTAAACCTGGCCATCAGTACACATACTTATCCGGCTAAAGGAAGTCGGCAGAAAACAAACTGGATGAAAATATTTGCTTGCTTTTTTGGTTTTGTTTTATTTTGACTGAATACACCGAGGTATTTTTTTAAAAAATAACCTTTTTTTGTGATACCAGAAATATACTCAAATTTGGCTCCTATGGTGAAAGTTCAGCCTTAATTCATATCAATATTAATGGACCCCAAACAGCTGAAAAGCTGTTAAAAATGGAGAGGAAACTGCTCGCTGAGGCAAAGGGGCACCTATCGGTGTAGAATTTTGCAAATATAGAATGTTTAAATGACGTTGTTCACATTCTTTGAGTAACACTTAAAGCGTGTGTGCGCGCGCGGGCGTGCGCCCAGGCGGCCTGGCCAGGAGTGCTAGTTCCTCGCAAGCATCCCTCGCATCGCTAACACTGGATTCCAGGGCGCTTCAGGGGCGGGTTCAGCAATTAGCCTTCCTGGCCAAGACTGGAATCCCAGAGCCGTGGTCTATCCGGGCTCTCCCCGCAGCCTCCCAGCGCGCGGGTCTCAGGAGGCAGAATCGCGTGAACTTGAGCGCGGCGCGGGCCGGGAGCCTCGGGATGCAGGCGGTGAGTGACACCGGGGAACCCCGGCGCCTTTTAGCCCCGGCCTCCTCCCCGCGGTTCAAGAGGGGCGCCAGGGCGCGCGGTGCGGGCGCAGAGCCTCCCGTGCACGCCCGTTCACTGGCTCCGGCCACCGCGCCCCAGCCGCCGCGGGAGGAGCCCTTCGGGGAACGTTTGGGCGCTTCCACCGCTTTAGATTTGCGTGGAGTTTATTGGCAGCTTGCAGTGCGAAAAGAAACCTCTGGTCCCTTGCTAAGAGAGCGCTGGGGGAGGGGAAAGTGGATAATCAATGCGTGGAAGGCAATGAGATGTTTCTTTTCACGTTGCTTCGGCTGTTTGCCTAGCGCGTTCCCACCTTGCTGCGTACGCAGCGCAGTGATGTTAACCCGGCGGCCCGGGAGTGCGGTTCCGAGCGCTGGGACTTCAGCCAGCCCCGGGGAAGTGATAATCCCGAAAACGCAACCCGGTGGGGTGTGGATTGGCACTACCAGAGCCAGTACTTATCAGCATTTATTGAACGGAATGCACGGCTGGTGAGAAAAAAAAGCTTAGGTTTGGTTTTTTGAATTCTCCCTATTTTTCATATTTATAAATAATGACAACATTGTAAAATATACTCGCGTTTAAGGTTGTGAGCAAGTACATAGAGAAGTAGGGTTGTCCGCCCAAGCTAGATTTTTAAAAAACTTCAGAAGAAGAGATTTTTAAAAATTTCTTTTTGTGTTATACTTTTACATTGGATTAATTTAATTAGGAAGGAGTGAGCAGATGAGATGCGATGCTGTTACTTATCATAGTACAGTGTGCTGTTAAAACCATGAGGGCAGACCCAGGGACCACTTTTTGAAGAAAGTGT